CAAAGAAAAAATACAAATGTTATACACTAGGTTTTCGTGTCTTTTCGTTCAACATGGTGACGAAACTGAGCTCAAAAGAAACATGGTTGTAGCTCCATGCTGAGGATAATTGTGTAGTATATAATTAATTATTAATCCAATTATCATTTTTAGTGTCTGCAAATACAAAATTCAGGCGACACTACACCATCGTCAGTTCATCCCCAGACTCCTCGCTGTCAGGAGCACTTTTGAATGACGGCACCATGTAACATTGGTTGCTCTCATCAATTCCCATGAACTCAAAATAAGGGTTGTCACGAGTCATCAACGTCTCAAGGGTAGCTATGACGTCATCGAATGATGGACGATCTTGCGCATGCTCGTTCCAGCATTTGTTCATAAGCTCGAACCTTCACAGAATAAAGATGGTTATCTCATTTGATAGACTTAATGTAAATTTAATTGTCGTGTAGTATTAATTGTAATGTGACATTCTAAAATGCAATTTCAGTTCCCGTTTTCTAAAAATTGTAAAAATAAATTACAAAACTAGAAAAAGCTGCCGTGKTTTTTTACGCTGGACACCCCGCAACAATGCTTGCACCATTATCATTGCAACTACTGGTAAGTAATGATTTAGATATCAGACCAAAAAATGTGGCTTTTGTAAAAAAAAATAATTACTTGGGTCAACCGGTAGCGTAATGCTCATTCAGTTACTACTTACATTTCATCGGAGCAGAGTTCTGTTTTTTCCAATCTATTACCCTTGCTCAGGAAGTGTAATAGTGCCGCATTGGTGATGGTAGGATATGGTGCACCACCTAGAAACGTAATTTTGATAGTGTATCAAGGATTCGGTGTCCCTTCTGCATAGCATGCCACATATAGATAAGCGAATCAATGGAAAGAATGAATGGTGGGATGATTAAACGAACGATCATACCCACCCATTGAATAGATTTCCCAAAGAACAACTCCGTACGACCATCTGAAAAAAAGTGCACAACATGTAAATATGACAGATTTTTTCGACGTCGTCTATTATCGGCTGTTGCTTTGTGTTCCGCACTCAATTGATAAAAATCACACAAAGATATCGATAAAAAGACGATCGATAACACACAAATGAACTCTTATCAGCACTTACATGTCACTCTTTGTGGTAAAAGTCTGCTCAAATATAGCCTCCGGCGACATCCATTTTATAGGCAGCTTGCGTCGTCCCTGCGCCTGGTAYATTTGCTCTTTGTACGTCATTTGACGAGATAGACCGAAATCAGCAATTTTAACAAAGTTGTCGTTAGTTAGTAATACATTGCGAGCAGCGAGATCACGATGTACRATTCCTTTGGATGCTAAGTATTCCTGAAACATCAAATTACGAAATTTTAGTGATCGTTTCAGAAAGGAATTTTTAGTAGAATAAGAAATTTCACAATTATAATCTTTTTTTGTCTTAGACTCCCCTTAAAATAGAAAGCAGCATTTGCGTATTTTCACCTCAAAAGATTATGAATTTGTTTGCCATAATTGCAAGTCAAACTTACCATTCCTTKTGCGATTTGCCACGCAAATGAYATAAAATCATTGGATAAACTATCGATGTCTATGTTTTCATCCTTTTCGGTTGTGCCATCTTGATTTTSGTCAGTTGTGCAGTAAATAGGTTTAGCAGTTGACATCTAAAACAATTAATGACAACAAACACATTAGAGATCATCAGGCAAGCCATACGTACCGCAGAAAATGACATTGTGGGTAATCCAGAGCGTGCGTTACTAGAGTGTTCAAATATTGAGCTAAAAGTTATGAATAGSTACTCATTTACCATATACYTGTGGACACATCCCATCATACCMATATCTAATTAAATGTTGATTGATGGACCATGGAAATCAAAATTACTAATGGCCATGGGCAATCTGCATGGGAACGCATATAATACTGACTTGTTGGAACTTAAACGAATACAAGTCTACATTTTCATTGTCATGTTAGTTGACACGAACNGGATTCGTTTCTCAATATGGCAAGGCATACGTACCGCAGAAAACACTGTGCGTAATCCATAGCGTTACTAGAGTGCTCAAATATTGAGCTAAAAACTCAATTAATAGGCACTCTTACCATATACCTATGGGAACATCCCATAATACCCATTATTAGATGGCTTGTAATAAATTTCCTGAGCTCTGATTAGTTGATGTGCGGTCTGTCCGAGCTGTGTTGGACCGTTGCTATGGTATCGGTCCAACTTCAATATTTTCCGTAAAAGTTGGACCAAGGGAATCAAGACAACTTTGTTTATCAGATTTGTGACTTTCTTTGCAATCAAAAAATTCAAACAAAAACAATTATCTGAAAGAAAGATAATYAAATTTCAACTACTCCCGCTTTTTTGTCCGCACTCGTCCGCGCTCGCGTCTTGATGACTGTCTTGACTTGTCGTACTGTCAAGACCTCGGTCTGATATTTTCCCGTACAGACCACATGCTCAGTTAATAGCCTCTTAACATTTTCATTGTCATGCTAATTGACAAAAACTACAATTCAGTCCATGCCTTTAACACAATGATTTAATATTTATTATTTTTTTCCATTTATAAAAATAACTACGAAGAAAAAAGATGAGCAAAAMAACCAATGAACTCCATCAAGCTTATTTCAGATGATTACTATTCCGGGCTTGTAAGTAAGAAGATGTTTTATTCTCAAGGTTGTTAATGTACAGTTACCTTCTTTCTCTTTTCTCTCAGAAAAGTCAATAAATCGCCCTTGTCTGCGTATTCCACAACTAATAACACTTTGCCTTCATCCTCGGTGCAGCAAGCAAGCATGCATATGATGTTCCTGTGGTGGCCAACATTCTTCATAAACTCGATCTCGAGAAGAAATTCATTCTTTTCTTCCAATGTTGCTGTATCTATGATAAAATTGTATCACAGTACAGGAGTAAATCAACTTATTCCAAAACTATGACTCAACCCTGAGGGTGATGATACAACTGTACAGTTTTCTCTCAGCAGCAAACAAACAGTTGCTGTCTCCCCTAATTATTGTTGTTAACGAGATCATAATCTTACCACGTAACATTTTCACTGCTACAATCATGCAATCAGTCATGGCTTCATTCCCTGCNATTTGCTCTTTGTACGTCATTTGACGAGATAGACCGAAATCAGCAATTTTAACAAAGTTGTCGTTAGTTAGTAATACATTGCGAGCAGCAAGATCACGATGTACGATTCCTTTGGATGCTAAGTATTCCTGAAACATCAAATTACGAAATTTTAGTGATCGAGCCATGGAAAGGAAGTTTGTAGTAGAATTAGAAAGTTCATAGTTATAATCTTCTTTTTGTCTTAGACTCCCCTTAAACAAGAAAGCAGCATTTGCGTATTTTCACCTCAAAAGAATATGATTTTTTTTTTGCCATAATTACAAATCAAACTTACCATTCCTTGTGCGATTTGCCAGGCAAATGACATAAAATCATTCAATAAACTATCGATGTTTATGTTTTCATCCTGTTCGGTTGTGCCATCTTGATTTTCGTCAGTTGTGCAATAAATAGGTTTAACAGTTGACATCTAAAACAATTAATGACAACAAACACATTAGAGATCATCAGGCAAGCCATACGTACCGCCGAAAATGACATTGTGGGTAAATCCAGAGCGTGCGTTTCAAGAGTGTTCAAATATTGAGCTAAAAGTTATGAATAGGTACACATTTACCATATACCTGTGGACACATCCCATCATACCCATATCTAATTAAATGTTGATTGATAGACCATGGAAATCAAAATTACTAATGGCCATGGGCAATCTGCATGGGAACGCATATAATACTGACTTGTTGGAACTTAAACGAATACAAGTCTACATTTTCATTGTCATGTTAGTTGACACGAACACCATTTCCATGCCTAATACACAATGATTTAATATTAACAATGATTTGTCATCAAGGTGATTTTCCATGGAAATAACAAAGGAAGAAAAAAGATGAGCAAATCAACCAAAGAACCTCTGACAAGCTTATTTCAAATGATTACTATTCCAGGCTTGTAAATAAGAAGATGTTTTATTCTCAAGGTTGTTAATGTACAGTTACCTTCTTTCTCTTTTCTCTCAGAAAAGTCAATAAATCGCCCTTGTCTGCGTATTCCACAACTAATARMACTTTGCCTTCATCCTCGGTGCAGCAAGCAAGCATGCMKATGATGTTCCTGTGGTGGCCAACATTCTTCATAAACTCRATCTCCAGAAGAAATTCATTCKTTTCTTCCAATGTTGCTGTATCTATGTTAAATTAATGTAGCACAATATAGGAGTAAATCAACTTATTGCAAAACTATGACTCCAACTACTCAAACAATATGTAGTTAGTCTTATGTCTTAAGATGATGATGCAACTGTACAGTTTTCTCAGCAGCAAACAAACAGTTKCTGGAAAACGTATTTCAATAGTCTTAGATGGTCTGYCTCCCCTAACTATTGTWGCTATACGAGAACGCARTTGTTCATTTATTATTCATAAGCTTACCACGTAACATTTTCACTGCTACAATCATSCAATCATTCATGTCTTCATTCCCTGCTCTTGATATTGCGTGTTTTTCTGTTTYTGTRSAATTCGTTCTCTTTTGAATATCTTTTTTCATCACACATCCTTTCCATACTTTACCAAAGGCTCCTTTTCCAAGTTCCTTAATCAATTCTATTTTGGTGGATGCAATTTCCCACTTGTCATTATTAATTCTAGGAGAGAGTCGAAATTTTAAACGTTTTTTAATTGCTTCATT